GTGGACACACGCGGAGATAGGGGACGACAAGGGCCTGGCATTGACCAACAGTGACATGTGTCACAGGCTCAGTCGGCTAGTTCTCTATATACCGTGAGTCGGCTCAGTCACAAGCTATTTATATAGACCGTGGACTCAGTGACATTTTATATCTTGAAGAGCATTTTTCATCAAGTTTGCATATAGGTAGGTAGCGCGGTCAGCGGTGTATAGACCTACACCAGTCGGGCGCACTAGGGTAATTCCGTTCCATATATAGAAACGTTTCTATATTTGGAAACGTTTCTGTATTTGAAATGTTTTTTGTTCCATATATAGAAACGCTCGTTCCATAAATAGAAACGCCAACCTTCCGGACGATTTATTTTAAAGCAAGATGCGTTATATAACTTTCTAGATGGTGGAATGCCATCTAGTGGCAACAAGGAAGCACTCAGGTGAAAATGACATGTCAATTTCGCCAAAACTTAAAACATCTATTTAGCCCAAATTAGCCAATATTCTGCCAAAAATCAGCCCAAATCAGGTTCTGGACGTCATATTTGAAGGGAAACCTTAATGGAAGTTTTTCTCTTATTCGCAATTTCTTCTACATTTTACACAAACCGGAAATCAAATCGTCGTCATTACCATGGGCCACCATGGATTTCTTCGGGCCTCCTTGCGATTATAAACTCAAATGTTGGCTTGTCACTGGTGGTAACCGTTTTGTGCGAAATTTCGCCAGAGTTTGCGAAGATCGTCAAACAGGTGAGCGTGCACCTACCGTTTCCAAATATAGAAACGCAGCGTTTCCATATTTGGAACAAGCGTTTCTATATATGGAACATCGTTTCCAAATATAGAAACGTTTCTATATATGGAACGGAATTACCCTAGTGCGCCCGACTGACACTACGCGGTTGCGTAGTGTAGGTCTATAGGTACCTGTTGTACTCTGATATTTACTGCCTGGGTGCCTTAGGTATCACAAACAATGCTCAAAATTGAGCTTTTTGCCTGTTCCATTTCAATGCCTTGGTATGTAGGTAAATCGGTATATGTCAAGTTTAGGTCCTAACTACAATTGTGACGCTGTTGATACGAATATGTAACAGCAAAAATTTTAGGTTTTAGGTTAGGTTAGGTTGTAGGTTTGTAGGTTTTAGGTTGTAGGTAGGTAGGTTTGTAGGTTTTAGGTTGGTAGGTTGTAGGTTTGTAGGTTGTAGGTTGGTAGGTTATAGGTAAGTAGGTAAGGTTAGGTCAGGTTTGATTGTTTTTTCTTTTATTTGCGAGAGATATGAGTATCATTTTTGGATTCAGGATGTCAAATAATGTAAAAATATGAAAAAACTGTCAATGAAATCTGCTTAGGACTTAAACTTGACATTTACCGGTAAATCAGTGGTAAATCAAACTACGTATTTGCTGGCAGTTAACAATTTAAACCAGGGGTGCGGAGCCAGAGCCAGCACATTTTAGCCGGAGCCAGAGCCGTGAAACAATTAAGCCCTGAGCCAGAGCCGTCAAAGAAGGGAGTGACTCCGCCTCGGGTGTGTTTTTCTCAGAGGAAAAAATTGACCTAGGGTGCGTTCGGAGAGTGCGGAATATTCCCCGTCATCGTGAAAATTCCCCGTGTTGCGTTCGGAGAGGGACATTCCATACCGCCGATTTCAAGGATCGCCGCTACTGCGCCAAGTTGAGTTCGTGGGATTTTGTTTGGGTTATTTGGTTATTTGGAACGCCACATCTATGGCAAGATGTAATAAGAATGAAGCTCTTGAAGAAAGAACAACTAGGAAAAATCACAATTATTTTCCAAAAGTCCCATCTGTACTGTGCCCCCCCCCCCCACCCCAAACACACACAACACAACACTTCAAATTATCGTTTTCATTGCTTCAGAGGACAATCACACAACTGAGTAAGCATAATCAATTGTTGGATTTGCAATAAGACTGATCAGGGTGGAAACAAACGCAAGAAATATCCATTTATGTTCAATAATATACTCACTCGAGCATACCGATGGGCGCCGCCATCTTCACGGGAACGACGCGTGAGATGCTTTTTAGATTCCGCGCTTTCCGCGTCCGTTCCGCGGAACATTCCCCGGGAATCGCTCTCCGAACGGCACATTCGGCGGAAATTTCATGCCGGCGTGGAATATTCCCCGGGAATCTGCCTCTCCGAACGCACCCCTAGCTCAGTTTGACAGTACAAGGCAGTAAAACATGTGATACGTCATAATCATTTCCTCATGGGCCCAGGGCCATCACATGAGTGAAAAAAGCTAAATACGTATCTCCAGTGTTCCACAGTATGCAATCAACCTCATTGTCAGCTCCTCCCTCCCCACGTCTACTGCATCCCCAGAGCCTGAGGACCAGTCATCAGGTGACGGCCATTGTTTTGATCAAATAGGGGATGTACTGAGTCGGACCCGGAACCGCCGGAGCGGACCATTTTACTCGGAGCCGGACTCGGACCTGCCATGACACTTCACCCGGAGCCGGAGCCGATTTTTTTTTTCTCCAGAGCCAGAACCGTCTGAAATTTCCGCGGCTCTGCATCCCATATAAAATGTCCAATAAAATGTCCATTGAATTATGAGTGCAGTTACTTAGTCTAGCATCAGAGGTTAACCCGCGCCCCACTGGGGTCTGCGTATAACGCCCCCTCCTAACTCCGAAACTATGGGGCCGATCGTCAAAATTCGAACGGAGTCTGATCTAGCCCCAGAAAAATTGCTGAGTGAAACCTAATTTCATTGACCTCGAGGTCATCGATGACGTCACAGGCCAGGCCAAAGTGAAAATTATCGATAATTGGCTTGTTCGCATTTTGGGCTCTGGCCGCCATCTTACAAGTCAGATCAGGCTCATTTTTGGTTTACACACTCATGAACAGATGCTTTAATACCCTGAAGGTACCAAACTTGTACTTCGATCTTCAGGTCAGGTCAGGGTCAGGTCATCACAGGTTACAGAAATCTTGTGTCATGCATTGGTCACATGACACATGTTTTATGGTCTATTTAGGCCATAGATCTCGAATTCGATGTCGTTTTTGTCATTCGAGTTCATTTTGAGTTGAATTTAGCTTAGGTCAGGCCACTTTCAGGTCAAAAAAGGTCAAATTTTAAAAGTTGATTTTTTTAAAATAAAAATGTGTCTATCGGATGCAGTTTGAGCTCAGAAACACGATGGTCTTATTTATATTGGTGTACGAGGTCAAATACGCACTGAAAAATTGATTTGAAAAAATTTATAATCGTGGAATTTTTGCTATAATGTGTATAACTTGGCCATTTTTGAAGACATCTGGCTAACACCTGCTAGAGTAAGTCATAAGCATTTATTTTTTCACATATTCCGTTTTTTTTCTCGAAAAGTCAAAAACTTTTTGAATAAAATATAAAAATGTAAATTTTAGATTTTAGTGTATAATATTTCCAAAATTTTCAAAATTTTCAAAATCCGAAATAGCAGTTTGATCGCGCAATCTGTTTTGAGTCCTCTCAAGCAAAGAAATTGGGTCTAGCTTAAAAACTGAGCGCTTGGGAGCGATTGCCGTGGTTCAATGTTTTGCGTCGATATCGGCAGAACATGACGTCACTCTGACGTTTATTCCGGCCGACCTATGGTAGCTACGAAGTTCATATTTTGACACAAGGTGTCAAATTGATGCATCCAAAGGTACTGAAAGTTTGGTTTCGATACGTCAAGCGGCTTAGAAGTTATTGCAGAAAAACGCGAGTGGTGGGGCGCGGGTTAACCCTATTCTGGGCGGGGGGCCTTAAAGGCCCCCCGTCAGGTTTTTCTTGTGCCATTGCTAAACGCCGCAAGACTGAAAGCTCATACTCGGTGACTTTTTCTAAACATTCATTGCGCACATTTTGACAAAAACAAGTTGCCGGGTCAGGTCAGGTCAGGTCACCAAAGGAGGTGTGTTGACCCCACCTCGGAAAAGTTTGCAACCACGCCAGAGCTAGAGTTTTTGACTGATCAATTTCTTCTCTTCAGGTTTTAGTTAGGGTACCAGTATGTGCAATTTGTATATCTCAGAATTTTTATATCTGTGACCTGAGGTCAGGCCAGACTTGTGACCTTTACATTGCAAGCCTATATGGGAAAATATTGGAATGCTTCCTGCTTCGTGTAAACGAGTCAAAACCACCCAATTCTTTCAGTATTATGAAAGATTATCTAATCGGTGATGATCCTGGTGCCGCTTATTGACAGGGGCACCGGGAAAGGTCATCGGAGGTCATGTGACGTCATAAATCGTTTTTTGTCAATAAATCACGACATGATGGCGCTAAAGACTTGTAAGTGGTACCAAAGTGCTCGCCTGGTCAAGGCGCGTCATTTGGTATGCGGCATGACCATACCCCACAACCTCATTGGTGAATGACCTGACCTTAATATCTGGTCAAATTTCATATTGACCTGTGAAGATCATCGCATAGGTACTTAATTCGAATCGCCTCGACGAGAGCAACAAAAATGAATTAATTTTAAGTCTCTATGTTTCTTAGTTCAAAAGTTATATTAGTAACTAATTTCAAAACATTTTATCGTTGATGACCTCTGGTGACCTCAATATTGACCTGACCCGAAAACGACTTTGTAAAAGTTGTAGATCTTTAAGCGACCTATCAAACGCCGTTTGCCGTTTGTCGCTCCGATGCGTGCTTTTTGAGATATGAAGGGGGGGGGGGGCGAAAAGGCCCCCGCCCAGAATCGAGCCTTTCAGAGCCCGCCCGGAATAGGGTTAATGCGAAATTAAGATAGAATGTAGGTTTTTGGTACCTAACTACCCTACCACTATTCAGACATCAAATCATGTTACGCAGCAAACAAGCTGAATCATTTATTCCTCCTTATAAGTGCGGATGCAACCCAGAAATTGAGCATGTCCAATTTCTCAGTGCAGCCTTCTAAGCTGGTGGGGCAGGGGATTATTTGATTGGGTGATGCTGGAGAAGTGGATCTAAAAGAGGTGCCACGCAGGGCTGCGGAGTCGATGGATTTTCGGCGACTCCGACTCCGGCTTTCGAAAACCAACTCCGATTCCGACTCCGACTTCGGGCAGAACTGTCGACTCCGACCGACTCCAACTCTCGACTCCGACTCCGCAGACCTGGCACGGCTGCGGAGTCGACGGATTTTCGGTGACTCCGACTCCGATACCGGCTCGGGCTTCCAAAATCGACTCCGACTCCGATTCCGGTCACAACTGTCGACTCCGGCGGACTCCGACTCCAACTGCGACTCCGCAGCCCTGGTGCCACGTCTCTGTTTCGGACAGGCCGCCATCAGGCACGTGACAGAATGCCTCATGTTAATTTGATTCCCCCAAGCCTGATAGATGACAGAGCAATGAAGTTTCTCATATTATGCAATGTGGACTGGTAGGTAGGTAGCTAAGTATTGACTTTTGAGTGTGCCTTTCCAGGCCTGTGCTGTGTGTGAGAAGCCATTTGTCTACCCGCTGCTCCGGACTCCTGTCTGCAATGGGGGACCCGCTGGACGACCTGGATGACATCCTGAGCAGTCCGCAGAGCCGGCCACGCACCAGCTACCTGGCGCCGTCCTCGGAGCCGCGGCCGGCCACCTCGGCGCCGCCGCGGCCGCGCCAGGAGGTCACCGGCTGGGGCGACGCGCCGCCGCCCGGCTCGCCGGCCCCGGCGTCCGGTCCGCCGGTGGGCCGCCGTCAGAGGTCCGGCTTCCAGGACCCGGTCACCACCTCCAGGTACAGAGTCGGCTGGACTACGCTGGACATTGCGGGGCAGATAGCTGCCCGCTGGCTCTGGCTCTGCCGGCATTTAGACACCCTCATTTGTTCGTACAAATGTATTCAATTAAGCAAAAATGGGAATCGGTTTAGACTTTGTCGATGTCCGCTGCAGCTGACCCTGTGAATCGACATACGCTGTGGAGATGCCTGGTCACCGTGTAAAGTCGATCTTTTCATCGGCCTTTGTGCCGACCGGCGGCCCGTTCGCAGCGCGCCGGAGCCGAAGCCGTTGGCCAAGCCTCGTCCGGCGACATGGGACGACGAGGACGCGGTGCTGCCTATGATCCCCGACCTGGAGGAGGTGCAGGAGGAGGACCTGGCGCTCCAAGTGGCCGCCGCACCACGGTCAGTCAGCGGGGGTACGGGGTACCAGAGGGTCCTGAACTGGGGACCTGATTAGAGACCTAAACTGGGGACCTGGCGCTCCAGGTGGCCGCCGCACCACGGTCAGTCAGCAGGGGTACCACGGGGACCTGAACTGGGGACCTGAACCAGGGACCTGGCGCTCCAGGTGGCCGCAGCGCCACGGTCAGTCAGCGGGAGTACCACGGGGACCTGAACCGGGGACCTGGCGCTCCAGGTGGCCGCCACACCGCGGTCAGTCAGCGGGGGTACGGGGTACCACGGGGCCCTGAATTGTGGACCTGAACCGGGGACCTGGCGCTCCAGGTGGCCGCCGCACCACGGTCAGTCAGCGGGGGTAACACGGGAACCTGAACTGGGGACCTGATTAGAGACCTAAACTGGGGACCTGGTGCTCCAGGTGGCCGCAGCGCCACGGTCAGTCAGCGGGGGTAACATAGGGACCTGAACCGGGGACCTGGCGTCCCAGGTGGCCGCCGCACCACGGTCAGTTAGCGGGGGTAACACGGGGACCTGAACTGGGGACCTGGACCGGGGACCTGGCGCTCCAGGTGGCCGCAGCGCCACGGTCAGTCAGCGGGGGTAACATAGGGACCTGAACCGGGGACCTGGCGTCCCAGGAGGCCGCCGCACCACGGTCAGTTAGCGGGGGTAACACGGGGACCTGAACTGGGGACCTGGACCGGGGACCTGGCGCTCCAGGTGGCCGCCGCACCACGGTCAGTCAGCGGGGGTACGGGGTACCACGGGGTTCTGAACTGGGGACCTGATAGAGACCTAAACTGGGGACCTGGCGCTCCAGGTGGGCGCCGCACCACGGTCGGTCGAACTACTTGTAGCAGTTTGACCCGGCCGGTCCTGTCAAGATTACTGGATCACTGTGTGTGATGGGAATATACCGTTTTTATGTAGTCCTTTGGTTCCATGCTGTTATTCTCAGTACGTTTTCCGCGATTATTTGGATGGCTGTCTTTCTCGCTCACATTCTGCTGGTCACAAAGATGAGGTGCTATCGCGGTCTTATGCACCACCTGCCTTTCCCCAAATATCTCCCTGTATTTGTATTTGTATTTGTATTTACATTTAAGAGCGATCCACATACGATGTGCGTGGCGATTACTGCCCTGCACCCCTTGCCTCCCCCAGTCCCGCTCCCGGCCACCCTCTGACGCGCCCGCCATATCTGCGCGTCGGACAGGGCGCGGGTGAACCGGGTGGTGACCATGCAGGAGCTCAATGACGACCTGTTCAAGCACCCCACCTTCATGGCGCTGGAGGACATCGACCTGCGGCTGCTGACGCGCGCCCTCACCGAGCCGGCCGACGTGCAGGAGGTCGGTGGGGCGACACGGCAGACAGTGGGGCGCAATGGGACAGGGGGAGACGGTGTTCATTGTTTCTTTAACCAAAATTCGAAACGCATAACTAGTTTTCTGTCTATTTTGAATTGCAATTTTCCTTCTCTGGGTGTGGGACGTGCAGTGTAACAGTGTTGGATCCCAGCTGACCTGACCTGACCTGACCTAACACCCCTCAGCCGGACCGGCCCTGGGTGTGGGACGTGCTCTGGGGTCCCAGTGACCTGACCTGACCTGACCTAACTCTCCACAGCCGGACCGGCCCCGGGTGTGGGTGGGGCGTGCTGTGGGGTCCCAGTGACCTGACCTGACCTGACACTCCCGCAGCCGGACCGTCCCTGGGTGTGGGACGTGCTGTGGGATCCCAGTGACCTGACCTGACCTGACACTCCCGCAGCCGGACCGACCCTGGGTGTGGGACGTGCTGTGGGATCCCAGTGACCTGACCTGACCTGACACTCCCGCAGCCGAACTGGCCCAGGGTGTGGGGCGTGCTTAGGGGTCCCAGTGACCTGACCTGACCTGACACTCCCGCAGCCGGACCGACCCTGGGTGTGGGACGTGCTCTTCACGGAGGTTCTCTCAGAGGTTCAACAGGACGAGGACTCTGATGACGGCGCAGTGGACCTGCCGACACCAAAGGTAGGTCACGTGACACCCTACACTGCCTATAGCCGTGATGCTGCCGTTTAGCTGTGCCTTGGCATTCATTGTGTCTGGCGTTGACCGTAGTAGCTCAGGATCGGACGCAGTTGCCTCGCCTGTATTAGGAGCATGTAGAGTGTACTATTTGATAGAAACGCATCAGATGAATGTTCGATCCTGTAGAAAGACGTCATTGCTCCGTGTGTGTAGCTGAGTAGCAGTGATTGTATGTTGACCTGTTGTGTAGGTAGCGTCGTTTTGAATGTGCAGCTACTTCCCAGCTGTTAGTGACCAGTATAACACATAAGTGTCTGGGCCGCCGTCTGTGTTAGTTCGATTTGCCGCACCGGTGCGGTCACCGGAGCCTGGGTCCGGAACCGTAGCCGCCCGCTGACGGGTCCGGGTCTGGTCTCTGCCCGGAGCCGCCCGCTGACGGGTCCGCCGTCGGCCGCCGTTCTGTTCCAGTCTCGAGCCTCTGCGCGCGGTCGACGCGCCGCCTCTGGTCGCCTGCCGAACTCGGCCAAACCGCGCGGTCAGCCGGCCGGCCTGTGAGGGTCCGACCGGGAGCCTCAGACGGCGGCCAGCGGCCGGCTGTAACACCCCACGGCAGGACAGCGCGCCGCGAGCGGCACCGCGGCCGACGGCCGTCAGCTGACGGCAGTCCGTCACCTGACAGAGGAGATCGTCCTGACGGCAGTCTGTCACCAGCTGACGGCTGGACGAAATTACCGATATGTCGGCCTCGGGACGCTGGGACCGCGGTAGTCGCCATCATTTCAACGAATATTGGCCTTCTGAATTGCCTTGCAGGAGCAGCTTGTAACTAAAAAAATGAAGCTGTTACTTACCGGACGATGCCTCCGTTGCCATTTTTCTAGTCGATCTGTGCACTGCATGTCCTGCCCACAGCACATAATGTGCCTTCAATGTGATGCTGCTACTCAGCTGTTGCCTTTATCGTGTTTTATCATGCACCTAGTCACGGCGGCTGGCCATTTGTCAGATATTGCGTCATTTTTTTTTGTGATGTAAAGCAGATCTGTTTGACCTGTTCCTATTTGTCCTTAGAGTGGTAGAAGCTGACATAATTTTACGCTGCATGCTTGTTGCAAAAATGATGCGATCTCTTTTACAATTAAAAGCTAGTTGCGCACATTTTATCGCATCATCCACATTCATTGATATTACAATAATCTAGTCAAATCTATAACTGTCGTGCTGGCTATGGATAATCGTATGCGATGCAGAATCGTTAGTTTATTTTATGCCTTCGAACTGTCAATTTCCTGCCGTCTAGTGACCCCACTCGCGCTCACGTGTCCAGGCTGCGTGGGTTCACAGCGGCTACCGGCCCTTCTGAGTCGGAGGAGGTCGCTGCTGGTCACCGCACTGCTAACCCAGCCAGCTAGTCTGCCATCAGCTCCACGGCTCCGTCCGCGCGGTTGTATGAATGGGTGCGATTGCCAGTCGTGGTCTCCGTCATACTCTAGACTCTGTTCCGAGCCGTTAGGTCCAGGTTTGGAACGTCGCGGCAGGCAGGTCACAGCGGCACCCCAGTGTGTCACCGAAGCGTGTCGTGTTGATCTGTTCACGCGTAAGTCATTCCGAAGCACGTCCTGTGATAGTGTATCGATTCCGTCCATATCTGTCACCAATACACAGCACATCTGAGTGGACGAGTGAACTGTGAACCGAAGGGCCGTCCGAGGCGGAAGAAACGGGACCGACGTGGGTCAAGCTGAAAATAGCTACATTGAAGGAACGTCTGTATAAAAATTCCATCTCGCGAAACAACTATAAAAACCCAAAGAAATTATATTTGTCAAAACCTCACTCGACAACACTAAATAGAAAACTGGGCTACAGCACAAACACCGAAATAGCATCGCAAACGTTGCTATCAAAGCACAGAATGTACAGGGTGTCCCATAAGTTCGTTCTCACCTTTTATTTGCATGTAAAACATAGTACATTGCGTTTTGATATGTTTATAACCCCTCAATGTGCTCCCCATTTCATAGGCAAACACATGAATACATGCTGCGACATGCCAACCGGCATGTTTGGCAGCATAGCAGGCTTGAAGTTAGCGCAGACTGACTTGGCATGCGCCGTGAGCTCCTCAATGCTGGAACACCGCTTCGCTTCGACGAGCCTCGATTTCAATATTCCCAACACATTTTTATGAAATTTGGATCCGATGAGTTGCCTGGGATGTGATCTTGCCACACACGCCTATCACAGTTTCCTGGCACTGCTTTTATGCTTTGCTTGACCTCTGCACTGATGCACTGTCTTGCTTGAAGATGGGCCTACGACCTCCCGGATGCCATTTTCTACTAAAAAAATGTGGTCATACTTGCGGTTCAAGTTAAGCTAGAAAGCTGAAACTCCTCCTAGATCTTCTTGGAGAAGCATTCTGCGTCCCAAGACTGTTTCTGGAGCATCATTCGCAACGTGATCAGTGTCTGGACGCATATTGACCCACATTACCGTGACCCTGGCCTTTTGCATAGGAATAAAGCTGAATGACACAAAGGCCTTTTCCGTCGCCCATATGGGACCGTTTTGGGGTTTGGACGGGTGTTTTATCTCGAGCACGGACTAGGTAGTCCAGATGACCACATTGATGTCATCGACCCTCCAGTTTTTTTTAGCCTCAGGCATAACGAAACACATGTTTGGCCATTTTAAGACGTTTTTGACTGTTTTGAGCCCTCCGGTAAGTAGAGCTTAAGTCACCTTGAGTTAGGTACCCCGAAATGATACTCTTAGACAGCTGGCAATACATCCTGAAAAGCCTGTTTACCAACTTTCTAACGCTAAGACCTTTTTGACGGCCATTTTGGCGCCACACAGTTTTGGCCACATGGCTCACTCGTGAAATCTGACAAAAAAGAGCATAAACTTGCAGCGATTGACTCCCGACAAATCATCGGCGTCACTTGTTGACTGTGCGTCCAGTTAGCGATAGACATTGGCTACATACTGGATGGCCTCAATCACCCTCAACCGTCGTGAATGGCCCAGTGCGGTCTAAATACCGAGACGTTCCCGTATCAGAGACCTCTATGTTGCGGCGTAAGCCGTCTCCAAAGGAAGTGAACTCTCTGGCAAAAAATATTTTGTCTAGACGAATTAGTTACCGTGGAGCACATTCACAGTTGCCATGGCAACCCCAAAAGCTCAGTTACAAAATAAATTAAGCGTGGCTTTAAATAAGAGAGCCTCTTAAAGAAAAATTTAGGTGAGAAGGAACTTATGGGACACCCTGTAGAAGAAGCATCACAGTCGTCCGCTTCTGATACCAGAAGCAAGGGTGAGAGTTCTTCCGCCTCTCCTGGTGGGCCGCAGTGCAATGGGACCGCCTCTGTGGCAGTATTCACAATCACGATTTAAGGGTAGGGGTAGGAGTAACGGGTAACTGGCTATTTTTGTGGCCGTATTCACAAACCAAGTTTACCCCTGGTGGTCGCCCGGCGCCACGCAGACGGCACCGCGCAGGCCAGGTGCGGATACGGCCACTGGAGTGTACCCTGGGGTCGGCGGCGGGCCCACGTCACCTTCCAGTGGCTCCGTCCTCACACAGAGTCCGCACAGCTCCACGGCCATCAGCCCCCAGACCAGGCACTGCCCGCACACCCGGTGAGACTCGTGTACGAGCCGCCGCGTCGACTCGCACGATCATACCGTGCCGGCGGCCCACTGCGGCGCCCCCCCCCCGCAGCCCCGAGCAGCCGCCCGACTGTCCACTCGCCCGACTAGTCGGCGGCGTAGTCGTCGTGCGCGCCGTAGTCGTCCGCGGCCGAGAACACATCGGCCAGCATGTGCCGTGGGATCTCCTCCCCGCGAACCTTCAGCTGGTAGCAGGCGTTCTCGACCTTGGTCAGACTCTGCCGCAGCGTGGCCAGCTTGCGCGTGATCTCGCGCGGACCGGTGTTACCTGCCGGAGACGGCCGCGCGGGAACTGTTAGAGCCAGGGCTAAGGAGTCGGACTCGGAGTTGGAGCCGGTCGGAGTCGACAGTTCTGCCCGGAGTCGGAGTCGGTCGGAGTCGATAGTTCTGCCCGGAGTCGGAGTTGGAGTTAACGCCGCATGGATCAACGTCATGCACTGAACCCTAATTTGGTTGACGATACTGCGGTCGAAATTAGATTTTGTTGAAAAAAGTGCTGCTGTATTGGACGAACGTTTTCAGCGAAAGAAGTAGAAGGCGGTGAATATCCCAGAACCTGCTTTCTAATTCTTGTAACGCAAAGCCTTGGAACGCACAAGGGATCGTTAACCCGGCAGTTGCTGGGGTATTTCGCCACCCACCGTTTGCTGGGGGGGGGGGCGTTAAACGCCCCCAGCCGATAACTCGAGAACCAATAGGCGCAGCGAAACGCACGAGGCGGCAAACGAAAGAGCGCGACGAGACGCTTCAGATGAGTACTTTAAAGTTGAATTTTGAGGTCACAGGTCGGGTCAAGGTCAGGTCAAACACCTGAAATCGGGCTTTCAGTAGCATGGACTTCAGGACTTCGCAATGGGCGCCTCTCGTCACAAACTCTGTCAAAACGGTGCACAATCCATCATATAAGGCCTACAAGAGTGTCCGCTCCATGTAGGGGTCAGTCAAGCATAGGTCAGGGTCAAGGTCAGGTCAACCGGGTAGGCACATATCCCCGAAAATCAAAACTGATATTCGCAGCCTGTGACACATGTTTTATGGGTAATTTGGGGCGTAGAACACGATGGTGACATTCATTTTATCATATGTGTACGTGTTTGGCTAAAAAAGTTCAATTTAAGAAATGCATGTATCATGGTCGTGAAGTAGTCACGAGAAATTGCAAAGATTCAGTTCAAGATTTTGGAAAATGCGGAACGATAATCAATAATTGAAGATAGCCATTTGATTGTTCATGGTATTGGCAGTCTAATGGCATTTACGGCATGTCTGTATGTCTATTCTGTGATTTTATATGATTTTTTGAACATATGCCGTTTTTGGTCGAAAACTCAGAAATCATGACGTCACTAAAACCTCGATATCCCAAAAATTTTCCAACTGATTTTTTTGAAACTTTGTCACAATAAACTTCAATCAATTCCCTACAGGTACCCAAAATTTGGCGCGCCTGCGGCGCACCGTTTTTATGCTATGGCCCGGCGAAAAAAAGTGGGGGCGTTTAACGCCCCCCCCCCCAGCAACTCGCGGGTTAAAGGCAAGATAAAAACATCTCCATTATGAACTTCAATACCATAATATGGATTTTAATAGAACCGCCCGGACTCAGAGTAGGAGTTGGAGTGATTTTTGAAGTCGGAGTCGTAGTCGGAGTCACTTTAACCCGCGAGTTGCTGGGGGGGGGCGTTAAACGCCCCCACTTTTTTCGCCGGGCCATAGCATAAAAACGGCGCGCCGCAGGCGCGCCAAATTTTAGGTACCTGTAGGGAATTGATTGAAGTGTATTGTGACAAAGTTTCAAAAACATCGGTCGGCAAATTTTTGAGATATCGAGGTTTTAGTGACGTCATGATTTCTAAGTTTTCGACCAAAAATGGCATATGTTCAAAAAATCATATAAAATCACAGAATAGACATACAGACATGCCGTAAACGCCATTAGACTGCCAATACCATGAACAATCAAATGGCTATCTTCGATTATTGATTATCGTTCCGCATTTTCCAAAATCTTGAACTGAATCTTGGCAATTTCTCGTGACTACTTCACGACCATGATACATACATTTCTTAAATTGAACTTTTTGAGCCAAACACGTACACATATGATAAAATGAATGTCACCATCGTGTTCTACGCCCCAAATTACCCATAAAACATGTGTCACAGGCTGCGAATATCAGTTTTGATTTTCGGGGATATTTGCCTACCCGGTTGACCTGACCTTGACCCTGACCTATGCTTGACTGACCCCTACATGGAGCTGACACTCTTGTAGGCCTTATATGATGGATTGTGCACCGTTTTGACAGAGTTTATGACGAGAGGCGCCCATTGCGAAGTCCTGAAGTCCATGCTATTGAAAGCCCGATTTCAGGTGTTTGACCTGACCTTGACCCGACCTGTGACCTCAAAATTCAAATTTAAAGTACTCATCTGAAGCGTCTCGTCGCGTTCTTTCGTTTGCCGCCTCGTGCGTTTCGCTGCGCCTATTGGTTCTCGAGTTATCGACTGGGGGCGTTTAACGCCCCCCCCCCCCCCAGCAAACGGTGGGTGGCGAAATACCCCAGCAACTGCCGGGTTAAAATCCATCGACTCCGCAGCCCTGATAAGAACACCGTACTGGAGTCACCCACCGTCACGTACACCGTACTGGAGTATCTAATCGTCACATACACCGTACTGGAGTCACCTACCGTCACATACACCATACTGGAGCCACCTACCGTCACATACACCGTGTTGGAATCACTGACCGTCACAGCACCGTACTGGAGTCATTGACTGCAATTGTCAGTGACCGTTACAAACACTGTACCAGAGTCACGGAACTGCTCGATACAGAACACGTAAAATAGTCCAGCCGATATGACATTTCATGAAAGCTCACTGACTGTTTTATGATATGTACCAAGACTGCGGGCATATGCCTTATTGCCTTATTACCCCTTTATCGCTATCCAAGACGTCTATCAGTGCGGTTAGCACAGAAGATGCCATAAAACGACAAATCCTGTCAAATCCGGTAATAGATAACAGGCTATGATACCCGGCACCCCACCCCGGCCGGCGCCGGTTCGCCCCACCCACCGATGTTGACGAATCCCTCGTGGATGGTGCGCAGCAGGGCACAGAGCCGCCAGCACTCCTCCAGCTGGCCCGAGCTGACCGAGCTGATGCAGCGGCGCATCAGCTCGCCCGTCAGGTCGGCCAGACCCAGCACGTACTCGTGGTAGGGCAGCGGCAGCCGCAGCGGGTCGCCCACCTCGCCCTGGCGCAGAGAGACGGGTTAGCACAGCGGTAGGGGGACGGTGGCGATGGGGATGTGTAGAACAGCTGCGAGGCCATGCGGGGGTCGATGGAGACTGGCACCCAAAGGCAGTCAGGACTGGGCACGGCATATGGGGCGGAGACCCCGGCGGGACGGCCCCTATAGGCACTGACGACAGTAGCTACCACCCCGCCCCGTACCTTGTATCATGACACCCACCCCGCCCGGTACAGTCTCGGCGGCACCCACCCCGCCCGGTACACACAGTCTCGCGGCACCCACCCCGCCCGGTACATACAGTCTCGTGGCACCCACCTCTCCCGGTACATACAGTCTCGTGGCACCCACCGCGCCCGGTACATACAGTCTCGTGGCACCCACCTCTCCCGGTACATACAGTCTCGTGGCACCCACCCCGCCCGGTACACACAGTCTCGCAGCACCCACCTCTCCCGGTCCAGTCTCGGCGGGCGGCGGCGGCTCGCCGGCGGTGGTGGAGGGCTCGGCCCCTGACGCCGGCTCCGCACTCCCCCCGGGGTATGTCAGGCGCTGCTGCACCTCGGCGCAACTGATCACTCGGTCGTTGAGTAGGTAGTGGTAGAAGGAGAGCGCCTCAATGTACTCCTGCAGGCCTGTTAAACGCACGGAACGGCCGTAAGGCAATGAGTAGGTCAGTTCACGTTGACGGGTGCGTGGTAACTGGTAACACCCATTTTGCAGAGCGCTGGTAGGTGCAGCAACTCGCTAATAACATCAACCACCAAAAGGCTCGCTAAGGATGAATGAATGTTACAAATATGACAAATCACGAATATTAAAGTACCATAAGTATAGCAAACACGGTGGTGTTCCACAGTTCACGCAGCATACGGCCCCGCAGCGCAGCTGACTACCCGTCCGGCCTCACCAGGGCTGATGGCGCGCAGGTACAGGTACGGGTCGTGGCCGGCCAGCTCCTCGGCAATCTGGCGCAGCGTGCCGCCCTCCAGCTGACGGAACCGTCCGGCCGCCTCCTCTAGAACCTGCCGGTCCTGCTCCTCACTGCCGGGCGGGACAGAGCAGGCGCGGTGTCGGGTGCAGTCAGACTCGGCTACACCAACCCACGTCCCGTAACAGAGCTAAATAGGCCACAACAAATCCACCATCGCCCTGAGTTCCACCCACCTCGTCACCCTGTGCAGCATGAAGATGATGCGCTTGCTCTCGATGGTGACGTCGCGGCTCTTCTTGACCAGCCGCTCGTAGAGGTCGTGCTTGCTGTCCAGCTGGGAGGCGAAGCCGCGAAACATGGCCGTCACGGGCGTGTCGTCCGCGGCCGGCTCCGGCTTGGGCTCCGGCGGACGACGCTCGCCGCCGTCACCATGGCGACTGTTGCCTTGACGACCACCCCGGTGGCGGGGACGACCAGAACTCATGATATTTCTGAAAACAAGAGATTTTACAAACTACTCACAATTAGAAAAACTTTGAAAAATGACTTTAAACATGATGTTGTTTCACTAGCCTACAAGCATGTGCTGTTACTTGTTAGTTTGAAACTCATGCTACACTTGATTTTAGTAGGTAGGTATTACTTGCCAGGACAGGTAAGCTGCTCAATCGTCAGTTAATGGAAATGATGGAAACATACCACTTAGGTACCACAAATAATATTTTTTTTTGCACTTAAAATGATTTTTTTGTGTGTGCTCAAAATGATCAGAAAAGAGCATAATAAATATTTTCAAAAATAATTTGATTGTTTTCATAAATAAAGAACTATATTCCAATTTCCATCTTTGGTAGAGGCTAAATGGTGTTTGCGGGGGAAGCTTATTACGCATTGGCCGATCAAATTGCATAGTTCAAATTTTAAATTCAAAAACCAACTTATGCTGATTGGCAGCGCTGGCCTCTGCAACAGGTGGCTGCATCATTGGCATTCTTCAGTATGGCACACTAAATTTCTGCACAAGGCACTGATCTCAGTGTGAAAAATGGAATAACTTCCTTTGCCTAGGGTGATCATTGGGCTTTGTGCTGTTAAAGCTCCTCATTTGTGCTACAGTGCTAGTCTCAGCTCAAGGTAGGTACAAAATTGGGTATTCCAGTTCAAAATCCCATGTTAAAATGGTATATTTCCTTTAAGTGGTCAATAATTTGTGTTATGCACTTCCAGTGTTGCCATGATTGAGATAGATTGAGCTTCCCTGTTAGGATTGAGCAGAGTTTACCCTTTATACTGTAGCATCAGTATACCCAATATCTACCCCAGATTCAGTAACGGCGGAACACCTTCAATTAACCCTCGCACGACCAGGCCATTTCTCATAACACGAACGACCAGGGGGGGGGGGGTTGTTACGTCCCCCCCCCCTGGCGTTTCGAAACGGAAGGTCGTAGAGCTTAGCGGAAAAAACCAACGGATTGCTCTCAACGAGATCTCGCGATTGGTGGTATATTTTTTGGTCCTAGGTCAACATTTGACCTACTTATGACCGGTCAAAGGTCAAAATTTCCGAAAAAATCAAACTTTTTCAACTTTCCGCGGCGATTGCGGCAAAACGGTGGGAGATATCGACTTTAAACCTTCACTATCGTGTTCCTTGATCAATTCTCTATCGTTTGGTATGTATTTCGTTTCCCTAGCTCTAAAAATGGCGCGTTGGGAGCGCCGGAAGTCGGCAAGGTCACAGTCGGCGGCAGAAATTCGAAAAATCAAAATTTAAATTTTTGAAATCTGATTGTATTTTTTGATTTGGGAGGTCCATTTGCTCCCTATAGAAGCTAATATTGCTGCATATTCCCATTGAGGTGACAAGAATTAGCAAAATAGTGGTTCGGGCGCTTTTCAAAAATAGTACCGGACGCTGTTCCACTTGTGACGTCATAGCTCCGTGACCTGACCTGACCCGGTCAATTTTCTTGCACCACACGATAGCCAATGCTTGCCCCAACATGCATGGGAAGTTTCATCATGATCCATCAAACAATGTGGGTATCACCGGCAGAAAACCTAGGGATTCGGCGCACACGCTTGGTAACTGTCGGCCGGAGGCTGTACCTCTTATGACGTCATAACTCCGTGACCTGACATGACCCGATCAATTTTTTTTCGGCAAAAGATGCGCAAAGGTTGCCCCAGAGGGTATTGAAAATTTCAGCCCGCTACGACAAGCCGTTTAGCGTGCACTTCGAAAAAACCTCAGGGGGGGGGTTGATACAACCCCCCCCCAGGCGTTCTAGGGTTAAGGGGGGCACTGCCGACTTTTGGTCCCATTCTTTCTATGCAACACCCATAGGGCTAATGTTAAAATGCCAAAATCAAAGGGGGGCACTGTGCCCCAGTGCCCTCCCCGTTCCGCCGCCGGCATTAGTAGAGCAGACATCACACGAAGGTTTTCCAACCAAGGAGAGGCGCTGTGGGTTGTAGGGTAGGTTTGTAGGTTTGTAGGTTGTAGGTTTGTAGGTTGTAGGTTAGGTTAGGTCAGGTTAGGTTAGGTTAGGTTAGGTTAGGTTTGTTTAGGTTTTGTTAGAAAGAAGTACAGTCCACAGCAGAAGTAATGTGGGGTTTCAGTCATGGGTATGTTCTGCCTCTGAAGCTTTGGAACAATTAGCCAGACTACAATAAAACTTTGAATGTAGCTTATATGTATCATCACCCTTGCAGCTGCAACTTTAGCTATTGACATCTTCTTTTCGATCACTCCGCTTTAAACAATCGCCAGTCAAAGCCAACCGTTGAGATTGGTAAAACCCTACATTACTTTAGCGGTGGGATGTACCTCCAGGCATAGCGCCTCTCCTTGGTTGGAAAACCTTCGTGTGACGTCTGCTCTACTGATACCCCGCCGCCTATGCCCAGATTGTTATTCTCACATAATGCATAGTGATAAACTATGGTCTATGACCGTCATTATTTAACAGAAAAATTTAAAATACCTCAAAATAATAGGTACATACCTAAAGGAATCGGTCGTCAATACTACCCAACACAAGGCCAAGATACCAGCAACAATCGAGAATTATTTTTGCAGCCGCACCAAGGCTATAAGCCGCAGGGTATATCCACAGTGTACATAAATAGGTATATCGGCTATATATGGCCTTGGGTATATCAATATTGATATAGAACAACATAAACCGCACTTCTCCTTCTTCGTGGATTAGGGCGCGTAGCCGTCAGGCTAACATAAACCAGGGTATATTGAGTGAAGGGTAGGACGAACTTTGGTAGGAATTTCTAGTATAACTACTAGAAAACCTACTATATGTGGTCGGGACTAGCAAAAAGTTAGTTCAAACTAGAATATGGTAGCGCTTATGGTTGGCAGTCGTGACGCGCACGTGACATTCATTTCTTAAATTTCAGGTTTTAGGGGCCGATTAGTGGGCAGATACATTCAATTAGCTATTAATAATTGATAATGCAAACATTCAAGAATCTACATCATTCAATTATAGCCAAAATCACGCGGCGCTCCCAGGATTCGAACTCACGACCCTCGGATCCGTAGCCCGATACGCTACCGACTGCGCCACCGAGGACCGCGCGCCGACGATCGGAGAGGCGGATCGCGGGTGCTGGCGTGCAGAGAAATCTTTACCCTGTACGCCGTAGAAGATCGGCTGGGTTTCGTGAAAAATGGTAGAGGAATTGTCGAAAGAAAACTCATCGATCTATCATTTGGGACTAAGAACCATTGATTCCTTCAAAGGTTGACCGAGATATCGCTCGCCGAAAACAGGCCATTTAACACGTAAACCCTATGGGCTGGTAGGAAATGTACGCCGTGGAGCAGCAGTGCTACCAACTAACTTCGGCGGGGGCCGAACATAAACCGCACTCAGCCGCACTCACTCCCAATAATTGTCGCAAATGCGTCGTTGACACCCCAAAACAGTGCTGCCATATGTAGTCGTAACTCAAAATGAGGGAAACGGCAAGGCAAAATGACAGGGATCACGTGGCGTGGAGGACAGTACCTTGGACATTACTTACAGTACTAGTTCCAATAGATAGTGACTAGTCTTCATTTCCGAAATTAGGTACTTGACTCTCGAAAGTCGGTTCCGACCATAGAGATCTTATATACATAGAGATGACACGTCTATGTTAAAGCACTTGATTTCGTGGCGATTCAGTGGGTCTTTTTAAGCAAGGTTTTCTGGGGTGCCATGGTCCGTGACTTGCATTTTGTAAGGATTCGGTCAAGGAGATTGTGTTCACATCCGCTTATTTTTAAGTACAGTTTTTCTTTTTTGTCTAGCTGTGACGCTTTCGAGCGTTATTATTGAAATGAAATTAGGCATGTTTTAACCTTATGCTCGTATCAGGTACTGCATGTATCATTAACCCTCGCCGTCCGACGGGGGGGGGGGGGGCGGGTGCCGCCTCCCTATAGGGTTTTTCACGATAGCTCCGAACACGCGGGCGATAGAGAGCTGAAACTTGGCATACCTGACCTTTGATCCAAGCCGCATCTTGTGACACCAACCGCATTTTCAGGTCAGGTCAGGTCACTGACCTGTGACGTCATAAGTGAACCTCTGCACAGTCCTCAGATGTCGCAACTTCGCAACGCCGTCAGTGCCAGAGGAACTTTCACAGGGAGATGAAACTTACAGGATGTAGTATCATCCAGAGGTCTCACAACTTGTACATATATCTCGGATTTTCCCTAAAAATCACATGAGGTCAGGTCGGCCACGTGACCTCACCATTAAGTATAAGTCAATGGGGAAAAATGAAAACTGCTTTGTTAGCGCCGAGAACTATCTCAAACTGTCTCCAGCACATGGAATCGTGATGTCTTGCACGCCTTGCAAGGTCCGATGCTTCACTTTTGCATTGTTGACATTGCGTGGCGTCATTTATGGTCACTTGGGTCATTGATTAAAGAAAGCGCGGTTTTGGGGCTCATGATCACATATATAACCGCAATGAAAACCGTAAGACGGTTTGACAAAAGTCAGTTTGTCAGTTTGGCCAACATGTCTTATTTTCTTGGCCCTATTTTGAATATAATTATTAGCATGAGGCTTACGGTTTTCATTGCAGTTATATACTTGGGCCATTAGAGTTTTTCATCAATAACTCCCCATCAAATTGAGTTAGCGAGTCGGGAAAGCCACCAATAAACTCAGGAAGACCTGCCGATTCGAGTAATATGTAGCATGACCTCTTTCAACCAGCTTCGTGATCTAGGGGAGCTGACCTGCCCTTGACCCGAGGTCAACACCTCAAGTTGACCTCACCCGAACAAAAAGTATACCATTCGACGCGCCTGAGCGAGGCGAACACGATGATGCCAAAATCGCGGCTCTCCGACCGTTTTTTTTGCGAAGTTATGAAAAACTGAACCCTGGCCCTTGGTCACTTGACCTGACCTCATGAGACCTTAAAATCGGGTACCAGTCCCTGTGTCTTGTAACGGCGCACACGCTTGTTTTTTCCGCGACGCTCTAGCTTCATCAGGGGCGAAACGGCGAGGGAAATCGTACCAACGCCCCCCCCCCCCCCCCCGGCCGGCGCGTATGTAGAAAACCAATAGGTCCGGCGAGAGTTAATGTATCATTGAATGGGAACATGCAACATATGTATATTTGAGCTTGCACCGTGCTCAGAAAGGTTCAGAACAGCCGTTTTCACGACGGTTGACCGAAAACGCCAAACTTGACCAAATCTTAAGGAACCTACCCTGAAAATTCCATGAACCTGACCCAAATGACCTTAGACCTGTAACCTTTTTTGGGGGGGACCATGTCAGGGGGGCGATGCATAAAACATGCATCGCACAACAATAGTAAATAGTAAAGTTGGTTCATGTGCTGACCCTCGGTGACCTGACCTGTGACCTGACATGGTATTATCAGTGACCTCTAATAGCAACATATATTCTAGGCAACGTACGCCCTATTTTTAACGTACGCGAAACATTTTATCTTTGACCTGACCTGTGACGTCATCGGTGACCCCGAGGTCAATGAGATTGGAGTTCCGTCGACAAATTTGACAGGGCTATCGAACATCGTTTGAATGTTACGGATCCGTCCAGTAGTTTCGGAGATACGGGAGGGGGGCAAAAAAATGCCCCCCCCCCCACCGCGCGGAAGGTGGCCGGGAGGTCCACCGCCTGCCGGGTTGATGAGACCCTGAATGAGAGAGAATGTTTTTAGGCGAGCTTTTAAAGGAAACAGTCCACTTTCCTGAAATCAGTATTTTGCTTTTGATTTATGATTTTTTATGCTCAAAATAATCATGAAATAAAATAAAACCTTTTTGTAAAAACAATTATTTTCTTTATTTTAATATAGGGCGAACTATATTCTATGTAAAATAATGTTTGACGCGGAAGCTTATTACGCATTGACCAATCATATTGCGTAGCTCAAACCTACGAATACTGCATTGGCTGTAAGCAGCACGCTGATTGGCTGACGATGACGTGGCTGCATTCCTGTGCAAGGCACGCATTCCTCTACAAGGCACTCTTTTCGGAACGAGAAATGGAATTTCTTCGTCTAGGGTGATCGTTGAGCCGTAAAAGCTCCTGATTTGTGCTAGTCTCAGCTCAAGCTACGAAACTGCTATTCCAGCTCAAAACCCCATGTTAAAAGTGAACTATTTCCTTTAAGGAATTCAATAAAAACACAAAATGAAATCATGCTACAAATTTCATTGCTTACCTCAGGAATGAAATAAGCCAGGAAAGAACAGCAATATTTTTAACCAGTAAAACGCCTTTTGGGGCGACCAACGGAGCGAGCGAGAGGGTGGGCCTTGGACAAGCAAATTTGCAAGGGACACCTCCAACTAACTTGTGCACTGCACCCTACTAACCGGTCCCTAGCGATGTGCCAAATTTGAGCGCAATCGGCCTAGCCGTTCTCGAGATCTGGATGCGGCACCCTGCACGTGCACACGTGCAAAATGGGTCGCAACTGACTTTTGCACGGCACCCTACTAACTGGTCCCTAACCATGTACCAAATTTCAGCACAATCGGTTCAGCCGTTCTCGAGATCTGGAATCGACCCCTGCACGTGCGCACGTGCAGCAGCACCCCAACTGTGGCACACGGATATGCATTGCCTAGTGGGTGCCTACCTACATACCAACTTTCAGCGCAATCGGCCAAGTAGTTACCAAGATATTGCAACAATTGCAAAACTGACACCTCTTCGTTTTGCACGTGGCACGTGCATAAGCGGTCATCAACATGCATCGAGAATAGTCCAATACTTGGTAGAAGGAATGAAGCTACCCTAGAAATATTATCGAATGTAAATCGGTCAAGTGGTTGCTGAGATATAAGCCTCGCAAAAGCGTAACTACGGCCGGCCGGCCGCTCATACTCAGAAATTTCCGTTAATCTACGAAAGACTACGCTTGCTTCGCTCGCTACGTAATAATTTCTTCAGACTAACAATGCCTCAGCCATATTGGCACGCTACTGGCTGAAAATAAGTTGCTTAAAAAGACCCACTGAATCGCCACGATTTTAAGTGCATGTCATCTCTATGTATATAAGATCTCTATGGTTCCGACGAGGTCATATTACAGATGCACCGCGGCACGGGAAACAATCCCTGGCTCGGCAATGGACATCACGGCATGAACAGGTTGAGGTAGGAAAACGGGTGTTTGCAGGGGCGTAGGCAGGGGGGGGCCACTGGGCCATGGCCCCCCCCCCCCCCTTGGGCGCCGAAGGCGCCCTTGCGATTGGAGGGCGCCGAAGGCGCCCTCCAATCGCGAATGCAATTGTGATAGAATCGAATCGAAAAACAATCGCGACTGGATACGTAAGCCTATATGATCGCTGCCTTCCTGCCCACTGATGCCCTCATTTGATCGGTGTACTCCTACCTATTGGTGCTCTCCTGTAAATAGGCGCCCTCTCACCCGAAGGCGCCCTCCTGTAGGTCGCCACCCTGCTACACATTGCTACCATTCTGCTGGTCGGCGCCCTCATAATTATTGGCGCCCTCCTATCTATTGCGCCCTCATGTGAAATTTTTATGGCCGCCCTCCTCCCTTTTGGCACCCTCTTGTTGAGTGCCGCCCTTCTAGCCATTGGCGCCCTCCTACCTATTGGTTTCCTAGTCCCTCCTGTTGAATGCTAATCGGGGCCCTTCTACCTATTGGCGCCCTCGTGTTGATCGCCGCCCTCCTAACCACTGGCGCCCTCCT